TAGCTTGATGGGGAAGGTTGTTCCGTTTAAATTGATCTCTCGAGCTAGTGGCTGTGATTTTTTTCGGAGGAGACACAGGGTTTTGGAGTTTTTGTGAGGTGTTCATCGCTTTTTCAGCCGTTTCTCGGGCTGCCCAGAGTTGTAACAGGTGGCAAGTGCATTAGCCGTCTGCATCCTCCACCGGAGGTCGCATAGGACGCGGTCGCTCGATCCTTCCCGTTAATCTCTCAACTCATCTCTGATTTGGCATAGATCAGTTGATCACTATTACGAGTACGTGAGCCGCCAATGGCCACTGGTAAATGGGACCGCCATTGCGAGTGCGCGAGCCCCTACCAGAAAATCGTTGCGCCGCCCTTGGGGGCAAAAAACGGTGAAAGCTGACGTACGAAACCAGAGGGCAGCACAGGATGTGATCGCGCGACCCTGCCCGTGAGCAATTTCCCAAATCGTCTCTGTCTCCTAATTCATTTCTGGTAGAATGTATCCAGACGAGTTCCATGTCGTAAGTCGAAGAAAAAGCGTCAAAATTGGAAAAAAAGTACTTATTCTTCGTAATAATTCAGATATAAGTTGGAAAGGAACAGATTTTGATCGCAACGGTGTTCTTCGGTAAAGTATATTACCATGCTGTTGTAATAGCTGATAAGATTGTTGCACAAATGCGACCTAACCTTTCATATTTGACGACTTTTAGACGAGTGAGAGCAGCTGTCGAGGAATTGCGAGAGAGCTCGTATAAGAAAGTTATATTTGATGGACTAAAGCAGTCTTTGAGTCTTTTAAATTTTGACGGTTTCTCGGAATTTATTTGTTACGGTTTAGGACAATTTAGAGAAAACTCTTCATCTAAATATCAACTAGCTCTTTTGGTAACACTGCAAGAACATTATAAATGTAAAATACACATTTACGATCCAAAATTTAGTGAAGACGAATTAGAGATTTTGAAAACATTAGGTTTGGAAGTTATCGTGGAAAATGAGCGAGGGAAGCGAAGAGTTAATGATAAAGTTACGCTGGTATACTTACCACATTGTCCAAAACAGCTAACAAATAATTTTTTATATGCCAATTGGGGCTTAGAACTAAATAATTGTGTATTATTATCAAATAGTTGGTGGGAGTTATACCATTCCCAGTCACAAAAAGAATTGTTGGCTTCTGCTGCTTATGTTTTAAGAATTCATCCTTACGTAACTGAAATTCCACTGAGGAATACTTTCAAATATGTTGAGGCATTCAGCAGTACCAACATTCACATTTTTACTAAAGAAAAATTGACCACTGTACCTGCAAATTTCTGGGATGACCGAGAGGAGCCTAAATATTCCAAAGAACTCGTGTTGGACTCTACTGAAGAGAAACTAAGAAATTTAGCTGTTACATAAATGTAATTCTTCATTTAAAATGTGGTAAAGCACATTTATTAAAATAATAAATGAAATATAAGTTAGAGAAAGTGCTAATTATTCAGCCATTTATTACTTCTGGATGGTAATTATCTAAATGTGTTAATTAAAACTTTTGTGTACACATATATTTAAGATATGAAAATAATTGTATATTTATGTGGTAAAAGATTAGATGCAAAACAATCTCCAACTCAATATTACCTTAATTCAATTTTGTTTCATTTAACACTTTGACTCTGTTTACATTCAGATCGCAGAATTTTATATCCAAATCATGAATAATTGGTATTTTTAACCGTTTGCACTCGAGGACTTTGCAAAACCAGTTGCCAGCGGTGACAGAGTCATTTGTCGAGCACAAAGGGTTAATTTATTGATAAAATTGTTCCCAAACTTGTGAACATTGTTGGCATCTTATTATATTGGCAAATTATGTAACAATTGAACATTTTTTACATGTTCAAACAATTATTAGTTTATTTTTCCATAATTCTAAAATATTCATAATGTACGAAAAGTCAGTTTAGTCACTGTTTATTCTTTTTCTGGCATAGCTGGTAAATAATACATAACAGGCACAAATTACAAATTTCTCTGTGTCAAAAAAATGTGCATCTATGCGTGTACATAAATAATCAACAAATGTACTCTAATTAAATTATCTCATGTTAGCCAAATAGGATCATTTACATACATGCAATTATCTGGTATCAAAATTCGAAATAAATCCATTATTGGAATGATCCAAGTATTGATGAAGTTTGGAACTCTTTTTTTAAGTTGATCGAATGAGGAATGCAAGTGTTTTAAAAGACTGATATAATGATTAATACTTTATATATTGAAAATATAGTCATTAGTTTTATTCAGCATCATACTACAGCTATACTATGCAAAAATATTAAAAACGTTCCCTGGTCAGATTAATCTTGTTATTAATTTCAATGCCAAATTGTAGTTTAACGAAAGCATACAAGGAGCAACATTTAACTACTCATTGTATATGCTTGTTACAGATAAACGTAAAAATGAATAATAATCTCAGGACCATCCGTTCTTTGATTAGTGAGATTCGTCATAGTACTCATGGGAAGAAAATGAAAGATAATATTATGGTGCAATATATATTGGATCAAGCCCGTGCCCATCGTGAAACGTCAGAAGTACTTTGCAAGGCACGAGAGGAATTACACAATTTAGCTCAAACTTATCTCTGTTATCTAAGCTCATTAAGAAGGTATAATGAAATACAAACTCAATATGCCGGGAAAGGTGAGCGCAGTCTAAAAGAAACAGCAGACTTAGTCGGCTTCAAATTGCCACATGATCCAAAGTAATGTTCACGATAGATATTTATTTAGTGGAGCAAAAGGGAAATTGCTAATGTTGTATACTGGATAGGCATTTTTCTATATAGAGAAAATAGTGTGACATTTATAATTATAAGTTAATATTGTAAGATAATTGTAAGGAGAACGTTATGCTTAAAAGTCAGGTGAATCTTAACATCAATAAAATTACTCGCTGATCATATCTTAGAATTTTTCATCCTTCGTCAAAGACGTCTATCAAAGACGACTGTAGTACAATTAATGGGATTCGGTAAAAGTACAAAATATTTATTAACATTAGGACTACCAAGGCGGGTCAGAATGACTTGTTTCAAATGTCTCATCCTATACAAAAACAATCTGCCGGTCATTCTAGTGTTAAATTGAACAAAAACATCAGCAGTTTGAAAGTGATTATTTTTAAATAAGCCTGTATGTGCACAACACAGAAAGAACTGAAATGAACAGTTCTAAAACATATAATAATTGTTTACAAGCGCAGTGGTTAGTCAACTGTACAAGTATTTCTCAAGCTAATCGTTTAACATAATTTTAGTTTTCCAACAAGTGGATAAAATTACGAATGAAAGTAACTACAGTGCAGTCGACTTGTGAAAAGGTATATTAATGCTCATAGTCTTCAAGCTTGTATTGATACCATGTATTAAAAAAAAAAATAGGAACAAGTAACTGTTACCATAATATATCGGGATAATTTCTAGATAAAAATACTTTGACTGGTAAAATGATCAATATATTTTTATTGCGTATAATGTTTGCGAATGCACTTAGCGATAGTTGAAAGTTGCATGTTGCTGGTGCCCTCATAAATCGTGCCAATTTTACAATCCCTGAAGTACTTCTCCTGGGGAAATTGTGTAGTGTATCCTACACCACCCATAAAGTCTATACACTTGGCAGTCACTTTTAAAGCAGTTTCTGAAATCATATATGCAACATTTTATGTATTATTTTTAATAATTCTAACATATGCGATTAAATCCTCCCAGTTTTCTAGTAATAATTATAAACAGGGTAATTAATCGGCTCTTGAAGTGCTTTTAGGTAATAGGGGATGTATTCATAAATGAACCCTGTCACTATGAATATGTAGCATATATGTCCGTACATGTACTCCTTCGAGTACATGTCACTGTACACAAGTCGTATCAAAGTATACGCGTACATATATGTTATGTTCAATAAATTTTCAGTATATTAAGGTGAAGTGAAACCCCTTCAAATCAGTCGATTCGAATAAGACATTTTTTTAAAGGTATTGAACCGAACTGTCCGAAACTTTAATACATGCCTCCTGAGCACTTAGGAATTAATCTGGCACTTTCAACATTTGAATTTTTCCATCGAACAGGCTGAAACTTCAGCACATGCCTCGTGAACACCTAAGGAATATTCCGACACTTAAAATGTTCATTATAACAAAAATAAACGAACAAATTTTTGTTTGAAGTCAACATTTTAAAAGTGTCAATATATACCTTAGGTGTTTTCCAGTCATGTTAAAATTTCAGCGTGTTTATGGGAACGATACCCTTAAAAAAAAGTGTTTTATTTGAATCGACTGTTTTGAGGATTTCATTTCACGTTAATATTATTAAATGTTCAAAACTCAATGGAATGCAATTCGGAAGTGCTGTAACATTGTGATTCACGTACCAGATGCCACAAGTTTTGCCATTGCAGCTTCCTTCATTACGTCAGCTTTAGCATCCACCAATCTTGCTGCATTGTAAACCAGCAATCTTGCACACTCCAGTTCGGTCACAATTTGAGCAATTTGATGCTGCATGGACTGAAATTTAGGAATTCGTTATTGCGTATCAAAGTAAACTACAAAGTTCGTGCCAAAGTTTAATCTAACTTCCATATAAAGTTTTAAATGTTTACAGAAGTAGTGGCACATTTAATAGTAATTAATGTTACTTTCGGCTGCATTATTATTCCCGCATTTCCGGGCAACAAATGAAAATGAATATCTGATATATGAGAGATAGTGATTGCACGCGTTAAGATAATTCCCACCGATTTGTAATCCGCGCAGTCAAGTCTATACCCATCAATATTTGCACAGATTTATCGGTACGATTTATCGTTTCGTATGCAGCCACCTTAAGGTGATGTGAAAGTGGCATCCGAAAGCTCAATCGTTCATAAAACTTTTCTACGAACTGGGTGTCTCAAATTGTGTCATACTTTAAAACGTAAATATGAAGAACCTAAGATAGGTCCTGAAATTCGCTAAATTTCATTTTTTTATAAACTATTTTTAAAATACCCAGAAACAAATTCGAAAAGAATTGAAATTTCATGAATTTCAGGGCCTTCCTTATAGTCTCCTTATTCACGTTTCAAACTGTTCGGTAAACCGAGTTGAGAGAAAAGTTTTATAAAGAAAACCCATTCGACGCCACTTTCACATCGCCTTAAGCCTATGTCAGAAAACAATTTAGTGCGTACTAAATGTCAGTGACTTTGTTTATAGTGAATGTTAGACGATAATTGAGTAACGATGTAAACGATGTAACATTGTAAACGATAACCGAGGAATTTTGTCCTGGCAAAGTTGTGGGGTGCGAAATTTTAACGAACTTGAACAAACACTGTGCTTGATCGTTCACCATGCTGAAGTTTAAATAGGGCGGCGGTACGACTTTTGGGTTTTATTAACTAAATGTATAATAACTCTTTTACCTGGAATGAAAAGATCTCTTTTCCGAATTGTTTTCTTTCTAATGTATATGGCAAAGTGGCATCCACGCAGCCCTGCGCGATGCCAATCATTTGAGCACCGATACCGACTCGACCTTCGTTTAAAAAACCTGCAGCGTATTTGTATCCGTGTCCTAATTCTCCTAAGATGTTGCTTTCTGGGACCTAAACGGCGATGAAAAAGAAAAATATACTTCACAATATATCAGTACACCGAGCGAAGTTAATTATTTGCCGCGATTTAAATATTTCCTGCTAAAGAAATTTCTTGCCTCCGACGAAATTAATCTCATGAAATGGCGTTACAAGTCAAATGATGACAATTTTACGTTAAATAGAAATGATTTTGCCAAGAAAAAAAATTAACCGTATCAAACTGGCTTCAGGTATTGGAAATACTAATGGAAGTTGTGTCATTTTTATTTCTTACAGGACGTGATTCTTTTTCTTCCGTATATTCTGAAGCCTAGATGCTGTTTTGGGATATTGTTCTTTAAAGAACTATTATAAAAAAAAAATGTCAGCAGAAGTATGCTCTTCTCGACTAATGGTTTTCGAAAACCTTTAAAAATTGTATGTATATACTTAAGAGAATAACCAGTTTGGTTTAATTATTAACCGTTTATTTTTGACCTACTGAAAAAGTTGGGAGAGATTGTTAGTAATTTCCGATTTAGTAGCTTACTTAGGTACTCACTCTGACATTGTCAAAATGAACCATACAAGTTCCGGACGCCTTGATCCCTAATTTATCTTCAGGCTTTGCTACTGATAACCCAGGCGTGTCTCTCTCCACGAAGAATGTAGTAATCCCTCGATAGCCCTAAAATTAATAACCTTATAATTTTCTGCCATGAATTTTTTTTTTTCGTTAATTCATGATTTTGATTCCAACATATTACATGAATTTCTGTTAAAATTATCGGTTCGAGTACTCAGTAGTCTAGAAACACACATGAAATTAAATACTGGTGACATGCGGTTATTGAAATGAATTACATTTTATTAAATACTTAAAAGCTTCATAAAAATTCTTAAAACAAAAAGGTGGCCTACTTCGTATCACGAAACTTAGATGTCTCATGTTCAGTAGAGCTGTTAACATTTTCAAAAAGCGCTACAGAAATTGTAGTGCAATCATTATAGTTACTATATTCAATAACATGTTTGAAAGATGAAATGTACCACGAATAAAATTAAATCTCATCTAGTGGTTTTTGTACCTTACATCATCATGCCGTCTAATTGCAATAGTTTGGAATAGATATCTGCTTTGTTTAAGTTCGTTCATATTTATATTCCTTATTTTGTAACCAGAGAAAAATCATAAAAATATGAATAACTTCCTTTGGTGCCTCAAGGAAGTAATTCAAGCCAATTATTATGTCACTTGTTTTCATCGAATGCATATCGGTGTCGCAAAAGTCGGGTGAATTTCATCTTTCAACCGCACTTTCGATTTACACTAGTTTGTTAAGATTTTCAAGTCAAACAACTACACTCACGGCGGAGGGATTTGCATTGGCGAAAACCAGAAATACGCCTGCTATATCAGAATTCGAAATCCACATTTTCGTACCGTTGATTACATAGTCGGACCCGTCCTTCTTTGCTTCTGTCTTCAACGAAAATGCGTCCGAGCCAGAACCAGCCTCTGTCAAACAAAAACTACCAGCCTGAAATAAAAGAAAATGTTAAAATCGATCATTACTATAACTGGAGATAGTTCTCAGAAACTATATTATATAAACAGTTTTATGTAAACAATACATAAAAAACTGACTGTTACATCTCTAACGATGAAAGTATCCCAAGGGTACCTGGCCAATTTTGTTGGTTCTGACATATGTTGCAGTACATCGAAAAATAAGAGATGCGAGTTTTTCTTTTTTTTTTTTTATACGCGCTAATTCGCGAGTTTATGGAATCACAACCACCCCCAAAGTTGAACCCAAAAACAATTTCTTTACATTTTTTCGTAAACGGAATTGAATATGATTTATTATCGGAATCGCTGGTTCGAACTGGACAAATTACAGGTGGTCCTATCAAGAAATATTCCACTTACTAAAAAGTATTAAAAGTGTTTTTGGATCACTTTACCTTTTAATCCGGCGAATTAGTGCGTATAAAAAAAATACGCGTCTCTTATTTTTTGATGTACTAGAATATATGTCGGAACCAAGAAAATCGGTGAGGCATGCACCTGGGATATACATGTTCCTTGTAGGCATAACTAATTATCAAGATTCCTTGTATGCATAACTAATTATCAAGATTCTTTGTAGGCATAACTAATCATCAAGATTCCTTGTATGCATAACTAATCATCGGTATATTATAGATAGCAAATTTTTAATTAAAGACATTCTTGTTACATTGCCACTTATCACTGTCATTCCTCGGAAAATGATCAACATTTGTAATAGCAGAGGTATCATGATAGTTCCTTATAGTTATGATTAAAATTTAACTTTCGGATGACGACGCCAAGTGAAAAATGAGAATCCATTATGTAAAATTCCATGCTGGCGCTTTGCGATTATACTTACGTATTCTTGTGCTAGTTTAGGTAAGAATTTCTCCTTTTGTTCCTTGCTGCCAACCTTGATGATTAGGGAATTCACTAATGTATTGTGTATGTCGACGACAGCAGCAACTGAACCATCTACCTTGGCAACTTCTTCTACGGTAAGTATTGTAGTCATGAAATTGCTTCCAGTACCTCCGTACTCTGTTGGAACTTCAATACCCATTAACTGTCGAAGATGTACGGAAAAGATTATAGAATTTCCATGATTAACTATTGCCGCGCTATTTATGAGAGGACGAGTTCTTGTTTTGAAAGTACCTTGCAATGTGACATGCCAAAAAGTACGAAATTCTTCTATCATTCACCATTAATTTATTTCCTGCCACATTCTGATGCTTATTTACGTATAATCGTAATTTACTTACGCCATTTTGAAAAAGCTCCTTTAGAACACCGGTATCGATTTTTCCTTCCTTTTCCATCTTCCGGACAAGAGGTCCAATTTCATCCTTTGCCAATTTTGCCACTAAAAAGAGGACACTGTTAATGTTTAAAATACAAAACGTATACGCACTATTCAATGAAAATTAAAAAGAATTACAATCTATTTAACATTTTATCAGCAGAAAGGACAATCAAATGGTTCATCGTTTTCGTTAATTTCTCTTTAGCACACCTATAGTAAAATTTACTTACAAAGTCGTGCATTCAGCTTAAATGTTTGAAATATTTCCGTAACATTTTTGGACTTCAATTGTTATCCTCTAAATATCAATTTCAAAACAATCATGGCATAAAAGCAGAAGTACCTACAGACATATCTTTGTTTTCTTAATAAATTATTACGAACGAACGTTTTATCATTATGCCCGCAGATCCCTGTAAGTAATCGTATGGATTACTAACTGAAGTAATCGTAATTTGCTCATTTGATTTATCATTTATTGCAACATATATCTTCATTATATCATTAAATGAAGTGTTTACAGCTAAATATCAATCGTAAGGAATTATAAAAAAAGGCAGAAAGCGTATCGTAGTACCTCGTGTGCAAAGAAAACAGGAAAATATCAATCCAAGACGCTGTATGAAAATGGCAATCGCCGTCAGTTCTTTTATTAGAAAAAATAAACGTATGATGGTATATCACGGTTGGATAATAAAAAAATGGTGTCAAGCACGAGGCCGAATTTATCTCACACGTACGTTTATCAACTTCATTTGTATTAAGTACACATATACTATACATGAGATGATGTATACAGGTGCCTTTTGACACTCCCCAAAGCAAAAAGAAATATAGTCAGGTGTCCAGAAACAGCAAACATTTTTTTAATTTTTATTCCAGACACATATTATCCTTTCCATTTTATTCTCGCTTTTTTTCGTATACCTTCTTGACGTTTTCTTAGCCCTTTTCGAGTTGAAATTTGGATCCTACTGAGAACTTTTAGATGCAGGCCCTTTGAATGGGTTTTAAGATAATAACTTCTTTACAATTGAGGTCCTGCTTTCGACCTTAAAAGTGACTGATATTTCCATTTCTTTTGCACGTAGGCTTAAAGTGGGACTTAAAGAGTGAAATAAGATCAAAAAAGTTCTTCGATTACGCAGGTTCAAACTAATACTTTAATTTCGACTCGAGTTACTTCTACACAATTGAAATCCTACATTGAACTTTAAAAGTAGTAGACTGTCTAATTACTTCTACTATCGGAGTCGAATAGTAGGATGTACAAGGTCGAAAATAGAACATAAAGAGTGAAGCAGGATCAAATGCTCTTGGTTGGGTTATACAAATTTTAAATAAAGCAACAATCTCGACTCAAGCTATACTCTCTTCTTTCCCCTCTTATCTTGCTATACGTTATCCCACACTTCTCATTTTCCATTGTCAATCATTTTCGATTATCAGTACCCTATCTCACCCCAATGATCTCTTTTATATCCTTTTATATCTTGTATTGTATTTAATTCCACGTCTTATATAATTTCTGTTCGTATCGGCGCAAAACATAAGCAAGTCTCTTTTAAAAGTATGAGATATAAATTAGAAAATATGGTATCGATTAAAATTGCCATCTTTCAAGATTTTTTGTGAATTCTTTAGGTAATGATTATCGTAAAATACACATGTGGAATATATTTAAACGTACCAGACTCCTTCATCATAAGTTCCTCGTCTGTAAATCGGGTCAGAGGTTGAGGGTGTTGACTTAAAGGAGCTGACTTGTGTAATTCCCGGGTCTTCATCAACTGCCGCGGGATCTGAAAATTGTTTAATCAGTTATTTCGGAATTTACTGCTTATTCTTTATTATTTATCCCTTAAGTGAATGCTACGCGCGGCGTACGAACCGTTTTAAAAACGGTTTCGATAAATATATGAAGCTTTTGTTTTCTCACCATCAATTTTGCATATATAAGGGAAATTATTTAATCCTTTTTTCAGCTTACATCAATGCATTATTTGGAGTACCGACATAAAAATATGTAATATACCATTTTTTATTTTATTAACGATATATATATCTCTCACATGTATGGATATATCATCACGTCATCTGTACTTAAAGTCGACTTTTTTTGTATTAGAAATGACAAAAACTCGTAGGCCTTGAAAAATGCCTTATCAGTTAATCACTGTCTAAACGACACGGTAGAAATTAGTAGTTCTCCTATGTCGGAATGAATTGCGGAAATGACAACTGCTCACGGTTAAAGAGGTCAAAGAATATCTAGGTTCGTCCTCATATCTCACTTTTAGCGTTAAAAAAGAGGTCTTCTACTTGTAGTCTTTAACGCGGTGGCACGGCATCAAGAATCCTATACATGAAAAATTGCGCCGCCTGAACAAAATCGGCTTAATGTGTTAAATGGCTAAAAGAGGACTTTTTACCCCAAAAGTGAGGCACAAGTCAAGAGTCAGTGTTCAAATTGAGACAGTCGAGATATCTGAAAAGTCTACTTACCGTTCTGATAATCGAGCTGAAGGAGTTCATGTTTCTCGGGATAAGAGTTCGAAGAACCGGGTAAGATATTCTCGGAAAAAAAAAGCCAGATAAAAATCTCTGAAAGAACCAGATGAAATACTCTCAAAAAACCAGATGAAATTCTCTCGAAAAACCAGATGAAATTCTCTCGAAAAACCAGGTGAAATTCCCTCAAAGAACCAGATGAAATGTTGAGGGACTCAGCTTTATGGAAACCGATCGACTGGCTCGCGAACTGCTCGTTATAATAAATAAACGCGTGACTGGAGCTTGAAGAACGAGTTTGTTCGTAAATGTACGGGGCCTCGGAACTGGTTATTACGCAAAAAAGAACACAACATCACACATCTACCAATGGACGGTCAGTTGAAATATGTAGACAGTTACAGTAGCTGTGGACTTATTCACCTAATTCCTTATCGGAGGAGTTTGCTATCGGTGTTGTTGACGTGACTCTAGTCCTCCCGCCAAGTTTATATCGAATCCCCCCCTCGATGCAGGAACAGCTACACTCGAATCTTATCTTCCTAGTGGGTCTCTAATCACTGGAGCTTCTTACGACATCCGAAAGAAGTGCCGCGATCTCCGCAAAATTAAAGAATTCGGAGATCGCCGATGTGTCTTTGCGCTTTTGCAAGCTTCCAATTTGATGTTGACTGAGTTGAAATTTTAGTTTGAATTTTTAGTTCGCAACTTCTTTCATTTCAACCTGCGTGATCTGAGTAAGCACATTCAGTCGTATTTTATTTTCTAATCCCTATTTTCGAATTGTGCTTGCAGTAAAATGATATATTCTGTCTCCGAAACCGAATTAGCACACGTTGTTTATAAATTTCGAAATCATTTTATAATCTTACAACGTCGTGTTATAATTGTATGAGATTGTGTATACAAATGAGTAAAATTGTATAGTAAATGTATAACATATGTTATAAATTATAAGCTTCAACGAAAATGGTTAAAAATTGTAATATCTTTTTAACACAATACGATGTGAGATGTTCCCATCCGAAGTTCATAAACAATTAACATTAAATTTGTTACCTTGCAGTTAATAACTTTTGCATAATTTCTGCCTCTCCGTTCAGGAATCACAATACCTTATTGTTGTTGTGACAAAAGACTTGGCAAATGATATATACGTTTTACTTGCAAGAATAGACTTGGCGTGAGACTGTAATCACCTCGTTTTTTTTCTTTTTTATTTTCCTACTTATCTGGAGGAAAATAGTGCACGGTCACTATTGTAACGTGTCAATTCTTTATCAAAATATGTTATCACGGAAGTATAAATTTCAGAACGTAACTGTGACACTGTCCCAGTGATTGCCAGTCAGCTGCTATACTAAAAAGTACTGTTCAATTCGCTGCCATTTGTATGTTAAATCATGTAAATTTAGGAATCGATTTCATGGCCTTCGGTACTGATTGTGAAAGATAGTATAGGTACCCCAGAACACAATGGTAAGTTCAGGAAGTATTACCTACCTGTAACATAATCATAAATCAGAGACGTGTTTCACATTAGAACTACCAAGTCGTAACACAAAATGACAGGTTTAACATGGCCAACTACAGTTAAAAAATCCGTCGGTAGTTCTAGTATTAAAATAAATCACATCCGAGGGAATGGGAATAATTTAAGTGTGTAATAAGTATCGTCTCATTGCACAGTACTTTCATTACATTCGCCGTTTCGATTATCTGCGATCAGAAGAAACTGAAAAAACGTATTTTCATATTACGAGGATAACAACCCAGATAGAGATGCATGATCATCATGTGATGAGGAAAATCGATTTACAATTTCCAGACCATTTGACGCATGAAATGTCTGCAATATGTGTACGCATATTATATAATAAATTTGAAGACAAATTTGCGGTAGATTTGTCACGCGGTGGCTCAAATATGAGCTACAAACTGTTTACAGCAACAAATTGTTTATCGGCAATGCGTTAGATCAATTTAGCTGTACAAGCAAAGATTGAGACATTGTATGTACTTTAATTTCTTTCATATTTAAATATTTTTGGTTCGTCAGTGTCTACTGGAAATATGAATTCCAAATGAGGACTCATAAGCGGTACGCTCATGACTCATTTCATGATCTTTTATAAGGCTAATTTCATGTAATTTTTGCATCACTTTGTCTATCTGTGAAGGAATTGCTATATTATTACCTAACTTCAAAATTGAGAAAATAATAAAACATTAAACGTGTGATGTTTGTCTCAAATTTAACACGTTGATCGCCACGATGGTTATCAGTGCAGAGCGATTGTCATTTACAGGTGATCACCTGACGGTCATCGTGTTAATGTATGTACATATGGCAGCATACTAATTTATACTATCACTCGATTGTAATCATTTTTTTTCCAATTTAAACCCAACGGTATGACGTATCTTGATTATTAAGAAGCAATTAAACTCGGTAGAGTTTCGCGGCAAATATATTTGCAAGTTACATTTAAATGATTCGATGCATTAGCATTATCATACATATGCATACATGTACGAGATAGTGGATGCGATATAAGACGAAAATTATTTTAAATTTGTTAACTTTTTATAATTCTACTAATGGCTGCTTGGCCAATACCCTGACCATCTCCATAAATTAAGAGAGAGAATTTAAAATTTGTCTATACTTTCCATAAATGTTTACGGGAGTACTTACCTGAAAACTCTTGCTACCGTACGTAAGGATGATATATGAGTACGGACCTAATATCTAAAGAATTAATTACCATCAACGTTTGAAAGTTAAGCGACAACAGTTTTAAACAGGAATACATTTGTATTTGATACTTAACATATCCGTGAAATATAATTTAAGAAAAAACCATAAGGGAAGTTTAAATTTCCTATCTCTAGGCAAAACGTTAAAGAACTATTGGGTATTAATCAATATTGTAATCTCGAATAAAAATTCTTTAATACCAAAAAAGAATGTATGACTACTTCTAGCAGATTCCAAAGCTTTTCAGTATGTTATTCACATTCTAAGTATTTTCATTTACCGATTTGTATTATATGCATGTGTATCTGCCATGTAACTCTTCACATTTTTCTGCCAGTTTACTATTTTCTCGTGTGGACACATTTAATAATGAATTTTGCGTCAAAGTCAAGTATAAATAATTTTAAATTCCGTAAAGTAAGATTCAAAGTCTTGGGTGACTTTTGCGCTGATTACATAAAATATTCTGATATAAAATGTAACGAAATCGGTAAATGGCACAATTATTGACGATACTTTTTCAACATTGCAACACATTGTCGCGATACCTGGAGATTTGTATTGGTATTTCGCAATTTTAAAACTATTTACACGCTTTGTGCAAATACGAATGAATTTTCAATTTTACAAAAAAAAAAAAAACAAAACTAATAAGTACCAAAGATCTTCAAAATGTTAGATAAATTATTTAGTTTTACGATGTTTTAAGTTCCAATAGTAGTAGTACAAATTAAATTCATAATCAATTCATTTTATACATGTATGCATGTCAATGTTTTTAGTCATCTAGAAGTCCACATGAAATGCATAAGAGACATGTAAATGCAGTTCAAATAAATAAGTTCTGTTATATACAACTATGAACCTCTGTTCCAAAATCCTTGGAAAATTATCGATTTAAACATCTCAGAAATGAGTCGTTTCTTATTAAAAAGTTTTCAAAGTCGTGGTCGTAACTAAAATTACTTTTTTTGTATATTTAATAATATTACCTGTTATATTATATATAATATATATTAACTATTACAATAATAGATTGCAATTATCGTATAATTTAATAATACATTCATCATCATTACGTGATAGCATTGAATTGGATACGCGCGCAATTTCTGTGTACAACATGAGTGACAAAGCCTGAACTCGCTATAAACATCCATCTGTGAAATTCGCTAATCGACTTCGTCGAAACCGAACCGATGAATTCACTTTAGAAATAAAAAAGGAAAAGAAACTCCTTGTAAAAAGCGAAGCTTTATAAGTATTACCTAACAATTATTAGTTTCGGCTTCGACGAATTTCGCCGGTTAAATCCGCTACGGATCACTTTTTTTCTTTTTTTTTTTACAAAAACAGGCTTAACGCGCATACAGAGTTCATTACACGAGCTTCGTAAAATATTATCAGCGTATCGGCAACCATACAGATGTTTCACAATTGACGTGCAGATTCGTCAGTGGGAGATTAAAAAAGAACTGTCATCGTTCCACTCGCGTAATGAACGAATGTTAGCGTCGTAAATTGCATCGATTTTTAATTCGCAAGTCACACGCAAAAGCGCGTAACAACAAGAGCGAAATAATGGCGCTTGCCTAGCACGCAATATCATTTGTTGTATATCCTACAAAAAGGGGAGGAATGAGGAATAATAAGGGATGACAGGAGGGAGGGGGGGAGCTATAATCGATCCTCTTTCTCGTTCTGCGTGTCCTGTACAAAGAAAGCTTAAAAAGGAAAGAAAACGTTACATTTATGTATACATCGCACTTATTACTTCCTCCGTTTCACACACGATTCACATATCTCTCTTTTTCTCTCTTCAAGTGTACACCCTATCTCGCACGAAATGATAAATCATTAATAATCAATAATAATAATCGATCTTAATAGAAAGTAATCAATAGAACAGTGGAAAATAAAATATATCGTAAAAAATCGAACAGCGAACCGTGGCTCCTATTCGTATGTGCATTATCGAAGAGGCACGAATGTTCGATCGGGCGATTTATCCTGTAATAAAAACGCTATTATACTCCGAAAGGTCTTTCAGACCTGGTAAAACATTACGGTGATTCGCACCAATCCTTCCTGACTCGTTCACTCGACTTCTAATACCTTTCGTAGGGCGAATGCTGCATGTAAATTACATGTCAAAGAAATCAGTAGCTCCCTGTTAAATATTTAAGAAACATACCGCACGAATGTATCATGCACAGTAGTAGAGATGAATGCCTTCCTTACAGACATGGTGTCGCGAGTGCACAATGGGAAGTCATTCATTTCCACCAGTGGCATACATGGCATCAGGGAATAAACTTCGAAGCCACCAAGTAAAGTCACTCGTAGATTCACGAGTTAAAAGTTTGACTCTACGAGCGCAATTCTGCGGAGCGACATCGCGACAGTAAAAGACAACGAAACGGAAATATAAAATATAACGTATGACTCAACGAGCTAAAATGTCGGGTAAAATATGCGACATGCGTTAAAAGCAATTTGCGAACTTGAAATTCTAGAGTAATAATTAAGACCGTAAACAACCCTAATTTACTGTCGTATAGATACTTCCGCATTTACGTTGATATCTTTAACCCGACGAGCTTAATTTTACTTTCTTTAGACACGTTTGGGTATGAAATCATTAATAAACATATAAGTTATCTGCAGTATTCGGATTACAAAGAACGAAGCGCGTTAACTAGGTCGAGTCGTGGCTCTTTTGGTCCTAAACCGAAATTAAAGGCATATTGCCATTCCCGATCGCACTTCGGTCCGTGGGACCATCTTCTTACAATTTCTACCAATTCCAACAGTCGGCTCTTTAAAACGCGAAGCGTTGGCGCACAACACGGACACTCTCCCCGTCACAAATCGATTATTGCTCTCTCAGCAAGCACAAGAAAGCCGAACGATTAAGTTGTACGTCAATAAAAAATATATCTCGGAGAGATCGACGATCCGGAGTCCGGACAGAGGGACGCAATTCCTCGGACTCTTTTTCTCGAAGTTTTTCGCGTATCTGGCTTAACACTCGTGTCATCGACTTCCTTCGTGCTTTCTATTGGATCCTTCATAACGTTGGAACTCATGTTAACAAAACAAAACCGGTGTGGACGGAAATGAAATCGTTCAACGCATCACGTGTAATAAGGATCCCTTGCATTTGTAATAAACGAAAAGAGCCGCAAGCTCACGTTTCTCCAGACGAGTATCTAGACAACTTTGTCATACAATGTGTATCTTATAATGCGAGGAAATGCTTGGTCTATCCGACGCTAAAATGTGAAATACCCAAGCGATCACTTTATTACTGTACTATTATGGAAACATGGGCATTGTCTACTCGCTGCTATTCTTTACGCCTTGAAGAGACACCATGTAGATTTGGAGTTCAAAAAGAGTAGCATAAAACTGTTTTCAAAAGACTACGATCACAAAGTCCGTTTGACGGTTCTCTTTTTTCTCTTTTTTTTTACCGCTTTTACGTTTAAAATGGTACATAGCATTGAAAAGTATAAATTGTGACGGTAAAATAGAGATGCACGAGCATCAAGGGAGTTCCGAAATTCTGAGTTTCGTCCACAGTCTTTTTCGTTTAAAGAGAAATGCCAGAAGTTAAGTGGCTCATTGTGAGTGAAAAATAACGTCTCACTCCCGTTTCTTTTTCTAATCTCAGGTGTCTCTGGACACGTTGACATGATCCGAGGAAATCTGAAGTATGACACAGTAATACTGTATCGATACGTTGAATGCGATGGACCAAGACTGGTTTGAAATCGCCGGTACAATTTACGCCGTTCTTAAATAAAGCCCGATTTTAGTGCGAGTACATTATCTCCGAGGGTCGACGATTCCAAACGAGTCTTAGAACGCAGAAATGACCCTTTTAAAAATCCCATTCATTTCCAACCAGACCCGTTTCCGTTCGCCATTTGCAAGAATAGTACTCGCCCTTTTAGGGCTTGTCGAGCCCAAAGGAGTTCTTTCGCGTTCTACTAAAGGTAGAGTAATATCGGTTTTCTCTTCCTACGAAAGGACCGTTGATTTTCTATTCCTGCTCGCCTCGTGTCGGTCACTTTGGCAACCTCGATCCGGTTCCCCGCAGCTTCCTAGGCCATATCGAAGAGGAAGAAGAATAAGAAATAAGATGGCGGCGCACGCGTCCGTCCTTAAAAATCGGAACGGCGTTCCCTCACGTGGGCGCGCCTCTTCCGCCTTGTACTATATTAATATGTATAATATATTTATATATTTATATAACGCGCCTCTCGAACAGAATCTTGAGACCTCGCGATGAGAGAGAAGAAGAGAAAGACGAAAGTGACCCGATTTCGAGAACTTCGGGTACTCGCCCAGTCGCAAAGTGCTGCCGCCATCGGCAGCGATCCCAACGAAATCGCAGCATTATTTCATTTAATCGTTAAAAGTCCGTATCTGGAAGTGCTCCGGGTCGAAGTCGATTTGTCAAATCAACCTCCATCGGTCTTGATCGATATCGGCTGGGGCGCTTCTAACGTAACGCGTAAGAAACAATGAGTCGTTCCTCTTCCGAGAGGTCGTTTAGAATCCCCTTAGACGAAACGGAGAATCGTTTCAAGAGAAAAAAGACGTGCCGGGTCGCTCGACGAAGCTCGCGAAAAAAGTAGACGAGAACTAACTGATCCGATCACCAATGATATCATTACTAGGAATGACAATGGTGGACACGAAGAACTCTTCTCGGTGGAGAAAGAATCGAAACTTCCCCTTATCTGAAATATCTAGGCCAGGTCTCGATTGAGGCCGGCCAACGGGTTTCTCAGAAACGAGGAATTCATTTTTACTATCGGTTGTGTTGGAATTCTCTAAAACAAAATGGCGGACCAACCGACACGGTTCGAAGCACAGAGCTTATATACACGAAGAGAACATAAATAGGAGTGGAGAGGTGTTACGAGGAGGTTACACCGAGAGAGATCTCTTCTCCTTCTAAGTGTTACCGGAAGTCTTTACTGCACAAGTGTAGCATGTACTGTAGCATGTTGTTGCGACTGCTCCATTTTGCATAAATACGAAAAAACTACAAAAGAAAAGATCAGAGAAAGTGCAGCAAATTAATATTCATTCAATGTAAAGAACTTTCTCAATGAGAAACGAAGATCTTCACATGTTTTTATCATTTATCCTATCGTATAAATTTCGTGTATCGATCCTCCTATGCGCGCGGAGAGTACTTCCGGGAATAACTTAAAGGGAGAAGGTCCCTTTCTCTGTCTAACCTTTTCCATACACCTAATCGTATGCACATACTATAGCAATGTTTCCTCCATGTGTGTAAGATCTATGGTTCGGGGAGGGTCCGCCATTTTACAATCACGTTTAACGAATTCAAGTCGATCCTGCGAATCGTTTAGCATCGTTATCCTGTCACGTCCTAAAAACGTCCGACGAACAGAGAAAGGGAGACGCCAAGGCGTTTGTCGACACATTCGAAATAATTGCCGGGAGATGGGTGCGCTAGATTGTTTAAAAAAATTCCATGCAAAGTAAACCACGGTCACAAAGAACTCCCGTCTAAGGACGATGAATCTCCTACGAGGTTCTCTCGACCTTAGCCTCGGCGGGACGAGACCGGAGAGCTTTCGACGAGGGATGCAAAACGGTTAATCGAAAATCCCTAGAAGGAAGGTCCACCTGCCAACCGATGGACCAATCCCTACGTTAACGGATGACCTGCCATTTCATGGAGTCGCTCGACGAAATTCACGAGAAAGCTCGTCTTAACTATCGCAAAAGTCGCTCGCAATGGCGACTAAGGTCGCCGAGTACTCCTATTTTAGACAATTAAATTGACCTAGGTCGAGAGCACTCCTTCCTTCGGGCGGAGGCAGGGATGTCGGCAGAACTAGGGCCTATGACAATGAGTTAAATATGACAGCGCGGCACTTAACAAATTAAAAACGTAAAAACATTAACAATATAATATAGTCTTCTTATTGTAGATGTAATGTGATGGCAGTCTTGAGTCCTGGAAAGATGCTGTGATTGTTTTTCTTTTCCCTTCCCTCGTTTACTTCGGTCGAAGTCCGTCCTCTCCTGGTTTCGATTCTTCTCTTCCCTTTTCCTTCGTCTCGACGTTTTTTTTCTTTGCATTCCTCCAGCTTCGTCCTCCCTCGTTTTTGCTTCTCTGGTTTGATACCCTTGGGATCACTCGATCTCGCATCTCTTCATACTGTCTTTACTTGTGATAAACTTTCGCTCGTGGCAGTGTCTGCAAATTAAGATTGAGACAACGGTAAGCACGTTACATATTACTCACGCTGATAGCGTAATTGAATCGCTCCTTTGTACCCGCGCTTCATGAAGAACTCGCTAACTAACACCGTTTAATCTATGGTAATAATTTTAATTTCATTTGTTCAACGCTAAGATTGGAATATATAATCACTGCACCAGTGTTACTCCCATTTTCAAAATGACCGCGGAAAGGAAAATGATATATTACCCATTGAAGGGAAAAATTATTCTCTCAGGGTAAAGATTTGTATGTTTTAATAACTTAACTGTTTGAATGCAGCACGATCAGCAACAGTTTTGAGTAGAAAAGTGTAAAAGTACAATTATAATTCAACGACATCATTTTTGACAAACAATAATATATAATATTTTAACTGCCATGTGTAAATTAATCGAATAAATAGTTCCTTTTAAAATCAGGATAAAGGTTTTAAAATAACTACTAGATCATGACATTAGACATTTATAGACCCGAAATTAGAAACCTAGGTCTTCATTTACACAGAAACAATAAGATGCTTTGATATTATATTCCTGCAATGTAATTAGTGCTCAAAATATGTAACCAACCCTTGACCAGTCCTTGAATAATCAAATGTACTGACCTAAAATTGCTATTTAGTTTAGAGAGACAATTAGGCCTATATATTATATTTTTATATTATAAAAGGGTGAATTTTATAGTAACAGGTATAGTAATTGGTTTACCCGTCCCATTTCTTAAAAGTTGACCAACCTATTACTAAAAAGAAACACCGTGAGCGTATTGCATGGTATCATTGGTGAGAGTCGAATGATGTGAGTATGCCACTAGAGCTTCTAAGAAAATATCCGTCTACGTATCATTTTGCCAAAATTGCAACTATGCAACTTAAACAGCGGCTGCTCGTCTATTCTAAAACAATCGCCAGCGGTTGCAATGAACGCTCTAAATTTTATACAGCGCAATTTGATTCCGAAGAGTTTCTCGAAAGCAAGAAACGCAGTGATACGTAAAGAGTCATCTTGTTAATCGCGGATCATCATTCGTGAAACTCTTTACCTGGGCTATCTAATTAACGAAATGTTTGTAAAATATCTCTCTTTCATCACCAGACAAGTTTTAAAAGCTGCTCTTCCGACATGCTCCTCTAGCATACATTAAACCGTAAAAACGGTAACACATCTCATAATTTGAAATTAATATTAAGAACAATTAAATACTAAAATCTCAGAGATTTTAAAATTCCGAACGGTACAGCATATTTCCATTCTTATCGCTTCCGTAGTTTAATGAATAAAGTAGGAAACTCGAGATGATAGAAACATCATTGTAACAATGGAGCGACGTATCCTAGTATCAATCGGATCAGAATTTGTCTTTCAACTCTTTTCTTTTCTTAAAAAAGCGAACTAGTATCTAGACGACAGTCGTCCGTAAAAACACCAACTGCATTGTTATAAATATATTTTGCCTCGTTGGATGCAGCATTAAACTTGTCCTCAAATAAAAGAGATTTCGTATGGTTCTTATTAAGCCGATTTTAACAATAAAATAATACCAACAGCAATGCGTACCTGAATAGGACTACCTACGCCTCGACCGGCTTCTTCTTCTCCTTCTTCTTCTTGAGGAAGGACGGCGTCCTCAGGCCCTTCTTCTTCTTCTTTTCCTTCTTAGGCGATTCCTCGCTAACGCTCACGTCCTGCGACATGGAACCCTTAACACGGAAGGTCCCAACCGTAACCATAAACCTTCATGCACATGCAACAATGGCCTCCCTAGCGTCCCTAAAATTCGGTTTTTTTCGCATGCAAGCAGCAGTACTAGCTTGCTTAATAGCTCTATCCAAAAATCGATCGATCTTGCAGATCCTGTGATCGACTATGAGAAAATAGACATGATTCTAGCTCCCTCGTGATGAGTATGACGGGCATGACTTTTAATCTTAATTCGAAGACCGTGAAAGAACGTTGAATCTTCTCCGTCGCCATTTGCATTTCGAGGTCAATGCTGAATTTGATTTTTATAAAAGAAAATTAATTCACTGTAGCGAAAAAGAGAGTGAGCAATCCGTATAATATTCAAATGTAGCTTTTTAAATAATTTTTAATTCAAGATGGGAATTAAAAAGGTTTAGATATGAGTTTAATTTTGAAGACGATAATCTAGTATGGAGAGCTGTTCATGGTTGGTAATGATAAAAACAATCACGGATGATTAAACGACTTGTATGAAAAATCATAAGATGCTGCGTAATTCTCGATAAATTGTGGCAGTTCAAGCCTGGTCATAAACAACCCTCGAAACGGAAATTTGAATAATTTGAATGGAAATTACTTATACGTTTTTGAACTTGAAATGGGTTAAAGTTTAGTATATAAAATGTCCAATGACCTTAGTTCTAAATTAACTAACTATTTAATGACGCGAGAATTTAACGAAATACCTGGCAATTTTAGTTATAAATTAATTATTAAATGACACGAGTTTTAATTTAAGGAAAAAATAAAAGTGAACTAAATACTAAGGCATTAATTAATCTTGCATGTGCATTGCTATTAATCGTATCCTTTCCCACAACGATAAAACGAATACTCAGAAAACTAATTTCCGCATTGTATGATAAAACTCAATCACATCTTTAACGATCTTCGAATACTGATAAACTTTAGAGAAAATATAAATGTTCACAATTCATTGGAAAGAAATCCACGTCTCGAAACTATATATTATGATTATACATTGATTCAAATTCTAAGAAAACTATTTTGTTGATTTCAACAAATTTCATTTATGGTAGTAGACTGATATTATTGGAAGAGACCATTGCAAACTTTAAATAATGTTGAAGTGATTTTTTGATTCACAGTTCACTCATAAGACGTGAATATCTTTTCCGTTTGTTCTTCGCACCATTTTAATTAAAAGTTAACATCCTTGAATCTCCCACATTAGTTCAGGAACTTTCCGGGTTTCCTTCACATTCTCTTTTGCTTTCCCAAGAGGTCGTGCTTCCTTTTGATAATGAATTGTAAAATCTGATGTAAGGTGAGAAAAAAAAAAAGATGTGACACAAATAGTGAACATTTAGATATGTCGTTACGATAACAAGACAAATTTTAGATAAACTGAGAATAATGTTGGGGGGTAAAAAACAAACCTCCTTGCTACTCTGGGAAAATGTGCTGTGATGTGCATCCGAGTGATCGCCATTTACGGTGTTCTCTCCTGAAATACAAACGTATCAGTCAACACGTTATTTACAATTCATTAAAATATGATAAAATATGTAAGCAGCGTATTTTTCCGAGTAGAGTGACGATCGATATTGAGCAGATTTTTCACACCTTGTAAGGTTAACAAATCTGTAATTTTGAAACTCAATTCAAGAAGGAAATAACTTCAAAAAAGAAAATAATTTTTTATTCTGAAAAGGACAGTAACAAAAGTATTCCTACCAAATAAATAGGTACATGTTAATGAATTTTCACTTTAAACAGATGTCGAGGCTTCAGACAATAACAATAAATGTACCTGTCTCTAGAATGTACATTGAAAAACGAAATATACTTCTTTTCGTTAATTAAGTATTAAGCATATGTCGATCTGTGAACCGGGTGAGTTAACAGATATAATTTTTAATAATTTCTTCAAGAACATTGAAATCAACTGTTTGAAAAAATTCAAACACAAATACTTGAGTCAGGGGAGAAATTAATAAATTAAGCAAATCAAGTTACGCAAAATTTATAAGAAAAATTTTTTTTCTACAGCTACTTATCGAAAAAAAAAGTACCCCCTGGTTCGAATATACTTATGCTACTATGTTAGGTAGCTTTGTCAATGAACTCGAAAAATATAAATAAGAAACTAATTTCATTGGCAAACACACAGTTACAATTATCCAATCTCTAATATGATTTCTTCTGAATTAATCAATTTTACAACCGAGTTCAACCATCCAATTAACTTTATTGTTCCCACCAACTGATCGACTCTACTCGAGTACTGTAACACTCCTGTACGCTGAAATAACGTTAATTAATAATCGTTACCTTAAGAAAGAATTATTAGTAAGTGACATTTCTTTCCTTTCAATGTTCTCCCCATTACCGATACAGGAATATTGTGCATAAGTAGCAAAACAGGAATAAAGTGGAGGCAAGAGATCTCCTTAACCCATAGAAAAAATAGTGGAAAAATAACCTTACCTTCAGGAAGAGAGAAAGAGAACGTTACCATTCAAGCTTGCCATGGATGTAAATATATTGGTAGTCACGATTAACGTTTGCGTAATCGAAGGATTAAACGAAAAGCTAAAACCGTGGGGCAGGTGCGGCAAAGTATAACGAATGATGGAATGACGTGCAAGTCAGTTTCTACCGTGCCTTAAAGGTTTAAAAAACCTATAATTTTGTCTTACGCTGGCTAGTTCCTCTATCTCGAATTTTGCATTGAGTCATTCCATACTTTCGCGAACAAATTTGCAGAAATTCCAAAGTTCCTTTTCTGCAATGAAACTACCCGCGTATTAAGTATCAATGTATTCTTCGGCATTGTTGATCCCATCTCTTCGACAGTTTTAATAAAACATGCAATTATATTTTAAAAAATTAGCTGTAAAAACATTTCTTCGCCAACTTATGGAATAACCCAACGTTTTTAGCAATTCCGAACATCCGATATGTTCATAAAAATCGTAAAAAATATAGGGTTAATGACGAGATGAGACCGCTCGCCGTTGCGTAGAAGAAAAGGATACGGCGTTAAAGATAATTTTGGCAATAAAAATGGAGAAAAATGGGTGAATTCGTGCAGAAATGTTTACAGTCATACGTGCATGTGAACGTTTCAAACGCTGAAGAAAGCATTATACATAACACTAGCTTGTAAACCTTGTTCTAGCGTGCTTTTCTTCTACGTTTACGAGCTCCTTGGCATGGAGTTGAACTTTTATTTCGTGCAAAATCATGACATAAACTTAACGTCAGACAATAAGCTAAAGGTACATGTGGCGAACTGAAAGTACTCAACGTAGGGAAATATAACGGCAATTCCTCAGAAATGCAAAGAAAACAACAAAATAATAGAAATCCGATCACGGGAAAACGAAAACATAACGCATCAATTCCTGGTTCAAAAACGAGGAACGCAACTGAAATCTTAAGAAACTTCACCTCACGTCGAACGCTCTAAGAGTAATTATCAATTACGTGTGTACAATGTAAAATTGTAAGTAAGATGAGCAATCAACGCGTGGTTGTAGTAAAGTACGGCTATGTTAAAATAGCATTCCGATGTTAATGCACTTGGCTCGTTAATAGTGCGCAATGTTCCGCCACTTTGTTAAATTCTGAGTCAAGTATGAAATTATTCATAATTTTGTAAAAGCGATTGGTTAGAAGTATGAAACGAAACGAAAACTTCAACGATCGAATACCGTAATCCATAATACGATACCGTGATTAATATCATCATGTTAACATTGGCTTAACAATCGACCGAAATAAACTTAACAGCGGTTCGCGTATTCGCGTAATGATTGGATTAATATCCATTAATATCTAAATAATAGTAAATTGTACCGAATAAATCTGGACTCTTATCCAGCGAATAATCGGTAAAATAGGAACTTTTCAGACTTTGTAATCGACCTTAAAAGTATATCACAGCCACACCCGGTATCAAACCAGGTGGCACCGGTAATCATTCCTAAAACCTTGAAAACTAAAACTAAGTAATAGGAAGTAAAAAAGAAAATATGAAATAACGCGTGAAAAATAGCACCGACGTGGCGCTGTTTAACTGTACAGATAATTAATAACAGCCATGTTATTACAACGCGTGGGAATGAAATTAAATTAAAGGATAATCGGCAGTTAATAAGTAAGTAATACCGGAGGAAATCCTGCCTTCGGTCGTCGAAATTCGATAAGCCATTAAACGCGGTCTCTTCTCTGGCTACTCGACATAAACGTTTTAAAAAAAATGGTTTACGGCGAATCCTGAAGACTAGATGTAGGATCAATATCCCCAGTATCGGTCAAATTGATAGCAGAGACCACCCTGCACAAAGTAGTATCCTCATACTTTGGTGGCGGCACTAGAAAAGACCCAATTGAAGGCTTCTCGAGGCAATCATGAGAGAACGCACCCTCACTGGTGGCGTCGTTACTGATAAGAGCACGTTCTAGCCTCATAAATTCTTTGGTATCATACGAGTACGACATGCAATCCGACAAGCCAATACTGCCTCGTTGCGATTCGCCATGACAGAAAGAGCTGACTTCTTGTTCGGCTCTTTGGGCTTCTTCGAGGTCTTCGTCCGAAGGATCACCCTGTGACGCTTTATTAGAATTTCTCCTCAGGTCGCAAGAAATCGTGCTTCCAGAGATATCCGCAAAATTGACGGTGGTGTCGAACTCAAGATCCGTTCTAACGTTCCGATTTTTCAGCTTCTTCTCCTGTAATTTCAAGTACACCAACGCGTCGTCTATGTTCGTCGAGATATCTGCATTGTAGGGCGTTTCCTCGAAAGGACTGCTGGAGCTACTCATGTCGCTAACATCGGATATGGTGTACGTGCTATTGAAGTTGCTATCTTCTTCGCTGTCCTCAGAGATCGTGGCTTTGTTGCTTGAGGAGCTGGTGTGGTGCAAAGACTGGAAGGCCGTTGCAGAGTCGCTCTCATCCTTGCAGGATAGATAATCTCCGGACTCCGGACTGGGAACGGATAACGAAGGCGAAGTGACATGATCATTAATTTTTGAAGACACCTGACCACAACTTTTCGACACGGTTTCTTCATCAGACTGCAATCCTAAGGCTATGTCGTTATTACTATTCGGCATCTTTCCGCTATCATTTCCCGCTGATGAACACAGGCGACCATTATCCCTTGGTGATGTGGAATCACCAATACTTCTTGGCGACGATGAATTATCATTTCTTCTTTGCGAAGTCCCAAGGTGATTGTCATGTGGCGAGGACGAATGACTTCTAGGGGAAGATACGCGAACATCGTGGCTTGGTGGGGTCCTATTATCGTTGGCCATTGAGGAGTCTTCTTGGGCCTCCGGAAACCAGTCGCTGAAAATATGTTCCAACTCGGAACGATAATTAGAACGATCGAAAGAGGTCTCGTACGTACCGTCATTCGATTCTAGTCTTTGCCTCTCCGGTCCGAAAGTAGATTCGGACTCCATCGCGATTTCCCCAGGCTCTTCGTAAATTGGAGGAAGATACCTTCTTGCCCAGTTCCCTTCGTCGGTTTCCACTTCGTAGCATCCCCGGCACTCGGGTATTTCATTTATATCATGGAATTTGAAGTACGAGCGCTCGTTCAAGTCCTCAACTGCATTAAGACGGTCTTGGTGCTCCAGAAATGGGTCGTGACGCGCGGTCTGATCGTCCCTCGTTCCCGAAGATTCGCCATTTATCATTTCACCGATATACTCGATGAGACAAAACCTGGCGAGAGGAAAATTCATTTGTTTCTCCTTGGTATCGTCGGACTTGGTGTCGTTGTCCGTAGAGTCCGAAGTAACTTCTCGCTCCGCCATATTGTCCGACCCTGAAGAACGTACTCCGTCAGATGATGGAGAATCGTCTTCGCAGCTGTCGTTCGATAGTTTGTCTTGGAGTATCAGCCGAAAAGTGGGATATCTTTCCTGATATTCCATTCTTTCGTAAGTCCCGAACTTCCTACAGTCGCCGTTTGGTGGAGACGCCGTCTCGATAGAATGGATATCCGAAAGCTCGCAACTATGTTTCCGTTCCAGATCGAGGAATCTTTCCGTCAGTAACTTGAGAGACGCGAAGTCTTCCTCCAATGAGGAAGAGAAACTCGAGGACTTGGATATTTGTTCTTGGGCCGAGGTAGTACAGTTCTTTGCGGACTTAAAACGAGCACAAAATGCTAGAATTGTTTCCCCTAATTTGTCATTGTCGGTCTCATTTGAATTCACTTCATCCGATACATTGTTTACATGGAATTCATCGGTGCCCCAGAAATTAGAATAATCTCCTTCACAAGAACCGTTGGGTTCATGTTCCGATGATTTAGGAACCGTTTCATTGGAACATTCATCTTCTCGATTTAACGAGACCTGTTCTGAGAACCCGGGCCGAGTTTCACAGATAACGTTATCGTGAACATCGGAAACTTCATAAGGAACGTCATTTTGAGGCTTATCATTAGAGCTAAGTTCTTCATCATTGTTCTCAGA